AAGGTCAGTGAATATATCTTCGAATGCCATATCCTATCAATTGTATCATTAGATTCAGACATTGTACAATACACTACACCCCCATCACTCGTCTACCAACAATCTCCATCAATCATGATTCATACCTCATGTTCACTGCTGCAAGCCTCACACCCAATTTGACAGTTTGCACACTTTAGTAGTGATTTAGTAATGCTACCCATATGACCCCCAAAAAAATTGCATCACATTCAATAATATGCTTCTCTCTCTCTCTCTTGCTATACAAGATGGCACATAACCAGAGGTGACAACAGCACAGTTTCAAATGGAAGAAATTATATTTACTATCATTGGAGCACCCATTTTCTAGATATGAAAGACAAAGGGATAGGGTGGGAAAATCGCCTTGAAGTAGATCAGCCATGATCCAGTTGAATGGTGGTGCAAGTTCAAGGATGTGAAAGGCCTACATCTGCTCCTATTTCCTATATTTCTATGTTCCATTGCTGAGGCAGTAGCCAGCAACAGGGCTGGAACTATTGTAGGCAACAGCATCCTTATACCCAATTCTCATATTCCATGTCATCCCATAATTACTTCTGATTTTGAAACTCCAGGTGTGCCAGCATGTATTTTTTACCCTACCCTACTCCCCCTTACATGCCTACTTTGTGTATTTTTCCTTTCAGACATCCTAAAACTGACACCTGACCAAGCAGCATTAATAGAGCGAGAAAACAACAATGAAGAAACCCGATCACTATTGCACTTGCAGCCACTCACAAATGCTGACACTACGTATAATTCACAAAGATAACTTAAGAGACAGGAAGCACAAATCATGAGACATAAGGATCAAACCAAGGCAGGGTCCACTGCTGGCAAAGGAAGTTTTTAAGAAAATGCCACGAGTAAGGCCTGGTCATAACAGACAACCTATTTTCTTACAGAGATAAATACTAACCTATTTTATCAGAGAGATAAATACAAGATCCCATGACAACACCCTCGATATAGACAATGGTATCTCCTCAATGACATCATCATCTGTTTGAGGGACAGCAAGGTCATTTACATCACTCACACCATGACAGGAGCTGACGATTGTTGGACTGACCATCGTATAATCTATCAGTCGGGCCTAAAACATCGATGGCCAAAGCAGTTCCAGAGGAATTTCAATATTGATCGACTCAAAAGTCTGTAAAAAAGACCTACTCAGTCAGCGCCTCACAATCAACTTCATGACACTCACCAAGAAGGAACCACAGTGCCTATTTTGCCCTTAAATCCATCATAAACAGCACTGTCCGAGGAAACACCAAGACTAGTTTGACAAGAATGGCCAGAAGATTCAGGAACTATTCAATTTGAAGGACAAGATGTTCCTGAACTGGAAGCACCACTCGAAGGAAGGAAAACAGGTGTACATACAAATGAAGATCAAGGCCCAACTAAAAATCATTGGCCAAAGTAGAGATGATGGATGGAAAGAGTACAGGCAATCCAACAACTTGCTGACAGCCATGACGTGAGGATTCTTCCTCTACTGTCGAAGCACCCAAGGGCGTACCCCACTGGGAGTGAACAACTGAATGGCACTCATCAGGAACACAGGCAGACAGCGCTCAATGAAAGGACCGTTTTGAGAACTTTCATAAACAATATTGAGCCCTTGATGCGAGTGCCCTCAACCACATCCAACAGCATGTTACCCTCCATCACCTGAATATAACCCCAGCCTGATATGATGTTGAAAATGATATTGACAGCTTAGAACCAAAAAAACCGTTGGCACAGGTAGAATCCCACTTAAGTACTGAAATATGACAGACAAGCACTTATGGCTCCTATACACAACCATATCTCCTTCATCTGGAAGGAGGCCATGCAAGTGAATTTCCTCAACACTGGAGATGTAGTCATCCTCAAGAAAGGAGATAAGACCAATTGTAGTAACTACAGACTCTCACTGCTGTCATCCACATGGAATGTCATTGCAAAAATTCTCAATCACATCTTCCCAGTGGTTGAAAAGCTCCTCCCAAAGTCATAATGTGAATTCTGTCCATCAAGAGTCACATGTCAAATCCAAGAAAACTGCAGTGAGAGCAGCAATCCCCAGCCTTGGCCTTCTTTAACCTCAAAGGCTCTGTCAACTAGGATTAATTATGGAGTATTCTCCTCAAAATTTTGGCTGCCCAAAGAAATTCATCACAATCTCCACTTACTGGATAACAACATGCAAGCCATAATCCTCCAGAATGCATCACCAAAAACTCAACAAATACTAGGGCTTTTTAACTAGGACTATGTTATTACACCAATGATCTTCTTCCTCCACCGCAACATTTCACCCCGTATCCATAATGCTTCCTCTTGGAGTAGCTTCTCTACAGGACAAGCGGAAAACTGTTCAAACTGTTTCATTTGCAGTCTATAATTAAGAACACCTAACTCTATTAAGTTGCGGTATGCAGACACCCTTGCATGTGCACACACTCAGAGACCGAGCTCCAACCTATTGTCTGTGCATTAATGAAGGCGAATGAGAGAATGCATCTAAGGCTAAACATCCAGCAAACAAAGAACAAAGAACAAAGAAAATTACAGCACAGGAACAGGCCCTTTGGCCCTCCAAGCCTGAGCCGATCCAGATCCTCTATCTAAGCCTGTCGCCTATTTTCCAAGGATCTGTATCCCTCTGCTCCCTGCCCATTCATGCACCTGTCTAGATACATCTTAAATGACGCCATCATGTCCGCCTCTACCACCTCCGCTGGCAACACGTTCCAGGCACCCACCACCCTCTGCGTAAAGAACTTTCCACGCATATCTCCCTTAAACTTTTCCCCTCTCACCTTGAAATCGTAATCCCTAGTAATTGAGTCCCCCACTCTGGGCAAAAGTTCTCAACCAGCTTGCTCTTGCTATGCAACATGATCCCCCACTTTTCTTGGGCTTGACTATCCCACCCCAAACTCTCAAGATCCATGTTGAGTCATGAGGACAATGCAGATCAATTCTCATGCCCTGGAAGTCTCCGTTCAGAGAGGGAAAAGAAAATCAATGATGAAATTCAATATCGCTTCAGTATGCCAGCATGGTCTTTGGACATCTGAAGAACATGGTATTTGATGACAAAGACCTCAAACCAGACACCATGCTCATGGTTTGCAGTGCAGAAGAGTTACCTGGTTTTCTGTATGTGTTGGAGACATGTACAGCAGCCATCTCAAATTCCTAGGGAAAGAACATCAGAAATGATTCTGTAAAATCCTGCAAATCCACGGCAGGACAGGCACTCTAAAATCAGTGTCCTCTTTCAGGCTAATCTCCCAGTATCAACACACTGGTGACTGTCTACCATCATTGGGTGGACCAGATCACTGGCAAAAGACATCCAAAACAGTGTGGTCCATCACAACAAACGGATTCCAGGGATGCAGCAAAAACACTTCAAGAACACCCTCAAAGTCTCAAGAACACCCTCAAAGTCTCCAAGAAAAATGCAATATTCCCACCAACTTGTGGAATTCTCTTACTCAAGACCACTCATTAAAAGAAACATATACAAAAGCAATTATCCATCTCAAGCACCTCTGGCAGGTCCATGTGGAGGCCAAGCATAAACAACGTGCAAAAACCCACGTACCCTACTCAGTCACCTCTTCTACATCACCCAACAAATTTGTGGCAGGGTGTTCAGATCCAACATTTGGCTGCTTAGGTCAGCACAGGACCTATAACTTCAGTGTGGAAGAAACTCATCATCACCCTCAAGGGACTGCCTCGATAGGAAAATTAAGTGATAGAGATTGTGGGCTTGGAAGCCGTCGTTGAAGGTGTTTTGGTGAGTTGCTGCAGTGCATTTGTATGTGGCATACAATGCTGCAGTAGTAGTGGAAGGAGTGAACATTTAAAATGCTGGATGGTATGCTTTACCCTGGATGGTGTTGATTGACTTGAGTGTTTTTGGAGCAGCACTCTTCCAGGAAAGTGGACAGCATTCCATCACATATTTGATTTGAGCTTTGTAGATGGTGGGTAGACTCTGGGGAGATAGAAGATGAATTATTTGCTGTTTATTTGCTAGCTTCTGATCTGCTCTTGTAACCAAAGTATTTTTGTGACTTATCAGTTCAGTTTCTGGTCAATTCTAGCTCCCAGGATATTGATAGTGGAATGTTGATCCTGCAATAAAACCACTGAACGTCAAAAGGGAATAGTTCAGCTGTCTCGTTAGGTTTTGTTATTGCCTGACACTTTTGTGGTTGAATTTTATTTACTTGCCGCTATCAGCCCAAGCCTGATAGTTGTTCAGTTCTTGCTCCATACTGACACGATAGTTTTAGTATCTCAGGGGCTGCAAATGTACTCAATCATGTGAATACCCCTCTCTGACTTAATGATGGAAGAAGTCACTGGTGAAGTAGTTGAAGATGGTTGGGTTTGGGGCACAACCTGAGGAACTCCTTCAGTGGTGTTCTAGGATTAAATGGTGTCCTTTTAATTATTGAGTTCAATTAAATATGTTTCATGCAACCTTTTTTTTTAAACAGGCCAGCTTTGAATTAGTTAAGCATACTTTCTGTAACGGAAAAGAGCTTTCACAGTGGCTCGGACACATTTATATTTAGAACAAAGTTTACACACATTTTCTGGTTTCAAATTTCAAAAGACAGACTGGATACAGAAATGTTCAGACAGTTGATGATGTTCATTACAACAGATTAAAATATTCCATTGTATCCGATCTTCCATTCTTATGAATTGCTCCATAGTGATCCATATCTAAAATGGCCCACTGTGTCAGATAATTATAGAATCTAGGTTCACCCACAGCATGTCCTTGATTTAGGCTACACTGTCAGACACTGAGTAGAGGCAAACTATCTGCTCATGAGAAGGGACAGAAATAGGATTAGTAAATCTGAAATGGGGAAATAAATAAATAGACAGATAAATAAATAAAAATGGGATGAAATGCATTTAAAATAAGTGCTGGCAAGGCTCACCTCTCCAGTTCTGTGCACCACAGAATATCCTCCTTCCCATTCATGATAACTGGGAAATGCTGATCCTTGCCCTGCTTGATGGAGTTCGACCTGGTCGTTATGGTCCTAACTTTGCTAAACTGGAGAACATTGCAATACAAAAGGTCAGAGTCCATGTCTTGAATTAGACAATTAAAACCTCAATTTCAAATAGTACAAATAAATTATTACCTCTATTCTACAACAGAGTAATATTGGTAATAACTCCACATATCTAAAGATTTTTTCAAATGGACTTGACAGAAAGACGAGGCTGAGATAGGTCTAACAGTGTAGTCCCAGCTCTCTGACTAGTAGCCTTCCTGAGAGAGAAGTTCTAGCTGAATGTATTGAAATGTGGTTTCTTATTATGAATAATTATGCTGAAGTGAACGGAGATATAACATAAAACTTAAATAGAAATTCACCCTCCCCTTTTTGCCTCATATTGCCAAAATTAACATTCAAAAATGTTCAACTCAAAGTGTAAAAAGTTGATTACATTTATGAAGTCTTGTGAAGTCATGGAACAAGAAAAGCAATCAGTCAATTTCATCCTCAAGAAATCTATTTGACTAAATTTAAAGCTAATATGTTGCAATATTGGCAGTTACTTGGATCACACCCAACGGTGCTTTCAAACAATGAACTTGCTGGAATCTGCAGGGCAGAGGAAGGGTATTTAATTGACATAGGTCAGACAGATGCAAACTGCCATTTCAGGTGCATTTCTAATGCCTGTTTCGATTATGGTTTAGAAGACAGACACTGGCCTATGCGTGAGTTTTCTCAGGCCCTCCACAATTTCAGCCAGTATTGTATTAACTGCCTGGGTACAAGGGCTCATCTGGGGATTTTTAAAAACATTTTTGAAAGTCCAGCCCACTTGTCTCTCCATTGGGCTCATCGTTATGATCACAATTGACATGTTGATCTGCATTGTAATTTAACAGCAGTTTCTGAATCTCCAGATCTCAAAAGCAACTAAGATTAGATCAATTTAAAATATCAAAACTGAGATTGATAGATTACATTACATAAGGGTATTAAGGGAAATGGAACTGAGGCAGATAAATGAAGTTGAATTACACGTCAACTCACAGGAACACGGTGGCAGAGTGATAATTTCACTGGATTTATAATTCAGATCTCCAGGCTAATGTGGTACGAACCCAAGTTCGAATCTCCCTGTGCTAATCTGAAATTTGACTTCAAATTATTGAATTGAATGGTGACCACAACATCATTGCTAATTGTTGTAAAATCCATCTGGCCCACTAGTGCTCTTTAGAGAAGGAAATCTACTATCAATATCTGTTCTGGGTCAATATTTGATTCCAGGCCATTTGTAATGTTTTGTCTATTAACTCTGAAATGATGGAGCATACCATTCAGTTTTATAAAACTGCTCCAAAGTTCGAAGGAAAAGGAATGAAACGCAGCCTATCAATCCTGCAAAGTTCTCTTGATTAATATCTGAAGGCTTGTGCCAAAATTGGGGAAGTTGTCCTACAAATTACTCAATCAGCAGCCTGACACCAATCTGATATGACATGATATGATAAGATATGATCTTCAACTCTTGACTTGTGTTCCAGACACCACAATCCTTGGTATATCCTGTCCCAGCAGCAGAACAGATCCACCACAGGTGGCAGCACAGTGGTACAAGGCTGAGAGGGAGTTGCGCTGGAAGTCCTCATCATCGTCCCTAGACCTCATAAAGTCTCATTGCTTCAGAGGTAAGTAAACCTCTTGCTGATTACAACCTATCGCTCCGCCTTTTGGTTGATGAGTCATTACTCCTCCATGTTGAGCATCACTTGGAGGAAACATTGAGGATACGAGAGTTTAGAATTTAATCTGTGTGGGGAACTTCAACGTCCATTATCAGGAGTTGTTTAGTAGCACCACTACTGATTCGATTGGTTGCGTCTGAAAAAAGACTGAATTTGTGGAATTTGGCGAGGAAACCAACAAGAGGGAATTGCTTAAACTACCTCATCCTCACGAATCTGTCACATTTGCATCTGTCCATAACAGTATCATTAGGAGTGACTACCACAGTCATTGTGGAGACAAATAGATATAGCAACTGAGTACTGGGAGTTCACGAGACACTGTGGGCCTTCATCAGCAGCAGAATTATACTTAGCCACAACCTGTAACCGTAAGGCCTAGTATGTCCCCTATTCTACCATTACCCTCAAGTTGGGTGATCAGACCTGATTCAATGAAGAGTGCAGGAGTGTGTGCCGGGGCAGCACCAGTTATGCCTAAAAATGAGGTGTCAGCCTGGTGAAGCTACTTGCATGCTTGCTGGTTTATGCTACTTTGCAACAGACAAATCTATGTGATCCTTCTACTAATGGATAAGATTTAAGCTCTGCAATCCTACCACATTCAGTCACAAACTGGTAGACAATAAGACTACCAAATAGAGAAGGCAGCTCCACAAATATTCCTATCCTCAAATATGGGGGTCTCCAGCACATTAGTGCTAAAGATAACGCTGCAGCATTTGCATTCACCATCAGCCGGAAATTCTGAGAGGATAATCCATTGTAGCTTTCTCCTAGAGTTATACACAATTTTACAGCACAGAAAGAAACCCTCTGGTCATGTATCTGTGCCGATCATCAAGCATCCATCTATTCTAATCCCATTTTCTAGCACTTGGCCCTTAGTCTAACATGCAATGGCATTTCAAGTGCACTTTCAACTAGTTCTTAAATGTCTTGAGGGTTCCTGTCTCTGCCACCCTTTCATGCCATGAATTCCAGGTACCCACAAACCTCAGAACTTTGTACGCTTCAATCAGATCTCCACTCAGCTTTCTCTGCTCTAAGGAGAAGAAACCCCAGCCTACCTAGTGTCTTCTAATAGCTCAGTTAGCCCAGTCCAGGCAACATCCTGGTGACTTCCTTCTGTACCTTCTCTAGTGCAGTCACATCCTTCCTATTGTGTAGCAACTAGAACTGCACACAATACTCACCACCCTCTGATACATCATTTTCTTATGGACAATAAGATGGGCAGTAAATGCTCAGCCAGTGACAAGAGTCCCATGAGTGAATAAAAAAAAACTCCAACTCCGGCCTAACATAACCTCCTTGCTCTCATATTGAATGCCTTGATTAATAAAGACAAATATTCAATATGCTTTAACTACCTTATCTACCTATCCTGCTGCTTACGAAGATCTATGGATATGTAAACCAAGATCACTCTGATTCTTTGTACTTTCTCAGGTCCTACCATTCAATGACTACTCCCTTGCCACGTTAGTCCAAATTCCATTTGCCACTGTTCAACCGATCTTACAAGCTATTTTGTCCTACAGTCTAAGGCTTTCCTCCCAGCTATTTACCACACCATCAATTTTCATGTCATCTGCAAATTTATTGATCACATTTCCTAAATTCATGTCTAGATCATTAATGTACACAACAGACAATAAGGGACCCAACACTGTGGTATGCCACTGGACACAAGCTTCCAATCACAAAAACACCCTTCAACTATCATTCTCTGCTTCCTGCCAATAAGCTATTTTGGATCCAACTTGCCAAACAGTCCTCAATCCCACGGGTTCTTAAATTTTAACCAGTCTACCTTGTGAGACCTTGTCAAAAGTCTCACCAAAGTTCATATAGGTAGCATCAACGGCACCATCCTCATGTACATGTCTAGTCACCTCCTCAAAAAATCCAATCAAATTTATTAGACGCGACCTTGTAAAGCCATGCTGACTATCTTTGACTAATCCTTGCCTCTCCAAGTACAAATTAATTCTGTCTCTCAGAATTCTTTCCAATAGTTTCCCTAGCACTTCATCTTTACTATGGACGTTCAGTCCCTATACATGTTCATACTCCACAAGGATGACCTACAGGCCCTCAGCTTTTTCCTCTCCAACAGACCCATCCACTAACCCCCCAACCACCTCCCACCCCACCCCCCGCATACCCTTCTTCACCTCGCCAAACTAGTTCTCACACTCAATAACTTTTCCTTCAATTCTTCACACTTTCTCCAAATCAAGGGGGTTGCCACGGGCACTCGCACGGCCCCAGCTACGCCTCCCTGTTTGTAGGTTAAGTTGAACAGTTCCTCTTCAGTACGTACACCAGTATTGTTCCCCAACTCTTCCACCGTTACATCGATGACTGCATCGGTGCTGCATCCTGCACCCAGGCTGAACTGGGACAGTTCATTGATTTCGTTAATAACTTCCACCCCGCCCTCAAATTCACTTGGTCTATCTCAGACACCTCCCTCCCCTTTCCATTTCCGTTTCCGGTGACAGTTTACGGACCGACATTTACTATAAACCCACAGATTCCCATAGCTACCTACACTACACCTCCTCCCACCCTATATCCTGCAAAAACTCCATCCTGTTTCCCCAATTCCTCCATCTCCATCATATCTGCTCTGACAAGGAGATGTTCCACTCCCAAGCATCCCAATGTCTACCTTTTCAAACAACGCTCTTTTCTCCCTCTGTCATCCAGACAGCCTTCCAATGTGCATCCTCCATTCCCCGCTCCACAACTCTTAACCAACTCCACCCCAAACATAATAAAGATAAGGACCCCTTGTCCTCACATTCCACCCCACCAGCCTCCGCATCCAACATATCATCCGCAAACATTTACGCCAACTCCAATTAGACCCCACCACCCAGAACATCTTCCACTCCCCACCCCTTTCTGCCTTGCCACTCCTCAGTTCATGTCACACTCCCCACCAACCACTCCAACCCGCCCGGTACCTTCCCCTGCAACCATACAGCACCTCCCTCACCTCCATCCAGGGCTCTAAACAGTCCTTCCAAGTGAGACAGAGCTTCATTTGCATCTCCTCCAAACTAGTCTATTGCATTCGGTGCTCCCAATGTGGTCTTCTCTACATCTGGGAGACCAAACCTAGACTAGGTGCCCGTAATGGCCAACCTAACCTCCTGGTCACCGCCCATTTCAACTCACCGCCCCACTCCCCCTCTGACATGTCCACCTTCAGCCTCCTCCAGTGTTGCAACAACTTGGAACACAAATTTGAAGAACACCACCTTATCTTCTGCATGGGCACCCTACAGCTCGGAGGATTCAACATGGAGTTCTCCAATTTCAAATAACCTTCCCACCCATGCCCCAGCTCCCTTTCCAGCCCCACCTCCTTCCTTCCACTTCACCTTCTGACCCTCCCTTCCAGCCACCAACCGGATTCATCCCTCCCATCGACCAACCAGGTCGTACCTACTACCAGTCCTATCACCATCTATCACCACTATTCCGACTTCACCCCTCCGACCCGCTACCTGCAGCTCCCCCTGCTCCCACATCGAGTCCTAAAGAAGGGTAATGCCTGAAACATTGACTGTTCCTTTCCTCCAGTTGCTGCCTGGTGTGCTGTGTTCTTCCAGCCTCCTGTCTGTCTACCTTGGATTCCAGCATCTGTAGTTTTTTTTTGTCTCTAACCAATATTTGACAGCATATGGAATCAGGGAAAGCCCTAGCAAAAATTGGGAATTGGGGAAAAATACACTGGAGTCATAACTTGCACAAAGGAAGATGGCCCTGTTGTTTGATGTCAGTCATCTTAGTTCCAGGACATCTCTGCAGGAGTTCCTCAGTGTAGTGTCCTAGGCCCAACCATCTCCAGCTGACTTACCAATTATCTTTCCTCTACCATAACAGAAGTGGGGATATTTGCTGATGATTGCACAAAGTTCACCATCATTTGCAAATCCTCAGATATTACAGAAATCTGTGTCCATATGTAGCAAAATCTGAACAACACCCAGGCTTGGGCTCATAAGTGGCAAGTAACATCTACGCCATACAAGTTTCAGCAATTGACCAGCTCCATCAAAAGAGAATATAGTCAGCACTGTTTGATGTTCAACAGCATTCCTATTGCTGAATACTCCCACCATCAATATACTGGGGATTACCACTGGCCAAACGGAAAGCCATATACATACTGTGACCACACCTCCTGTATCTCCAATGTCTGTCTATCATGTACATGGCACAGTCAAGACTGTGACGGAATACTCTCTACTTGTCTGGATGGGTGCAGCTCCAACAACACTCATTAGGCTTTACACCACCCAGGCCAAACCATCCCATTCACCACCTTCAACATTCATTCTCTTCACCACTGAGACACAAAGCAGCAGCTATATAAAATGTAGTGCAGTAACTCACCAAGGTGCCTTCAATGGCAAGTTCCAGAACCACGATCTCTACACGATAGAAGGACACATGCAGCAGATTTCCAGGTAGACCATCATTTCTTTACCTTCCCAATGTTCCTCTTTGTCCAAAGAATATTGCTGCTGTAGGGTCTTTCCCAAGTACAGGCTTCTCTTAACATTGCGGTATGCCTCTGGACCAGAAGCTTCAGATTAGAGTTCCAATCTGAGACTTGATGACCATGGATGGTCAGTCTGCCTATGGTAGGCAGTAAGAGCAGGAGAGTCTCCTAGTCATCCAGAGACATGCAGCAGCTGCAGCTCAATAGCCTCCCCAGGTTAAGATTCCATCCACAGGTTCTTGCCAAAGGCTATACTTACTTTACACTGTGCCAATAAACATTACTTCTACTGCACCAGAATAATAGTTTAATTTTCGAAACACATATCTTTTTGCTCATCCTGATTGTTCATAACTGCAGAGTCAACGTATGAGGAAAAGCCATCTAGGGGTTTAAATTCCTGAATGCTATCAAGTGACTCATGCTGAAAATTTCCACATGGAAAATGAATTAGGACAATGATCATACCTGGCTATGATGCATTTAAGAACATTTTAAGTAGAAGCAGGAATAAACCATTCTACTCTCAGCCTTTCTGCTCCATCATTCAATATGGCCATGGCTGATGTTTAACCTCAATTCCACCTCCTCGCATTATTCCCACATCTCTTAAACCCCTTAGTATCTAAACACTTAATGATTTTTAATTTAAAGAGACTCAACAACTGCGTATCCACAACCTTCTGGAACAGAAAATTGCAAAGATCTATACCCTTTGAGTGAAGAAATTTGGGTTCAAATAGCCCATCAACATACACTGTTAAAGTTCATGTGAGAATGGCTGTTTTGGTATGGTTCTAGAGTGTTGTTAGTTTTTTATGTCTCATGTCACAAAAACATATCAAATTCAAGCCCACAACTTTTAGCTGCTTGGCATATGTCCTTGAAACAATAAGATATGGAACTAGACTCTAGCAATCGTCAATATTCCCTGAAAAGTTTAAACTGTGCAGTAGTTTTAGACTTGTGCAAACTGATTTCATTAGAACTCTCAAATGTCAGAAATGAGATAAAATGCAAACAAACAAACAAACAAATAAGCAATCTGAAAATATAATTTCATAACCCATTCCAGAGTCAACAGCTTTATATTGAAAAGAATTCTCTATGTCAGCAACAGGGTACACTATACTTTTCATATCAAATTGTGATCAGTGCAAGTTACCACAGCGCTCTACATCGAACAGGAAAATGAAAGCATTGCTGTGGACTTGTACTAATCAGTATTTATATTGAGAAAGCTGTCAGAGAGAAGAGACTTTAATGGTGTGGTCTTAAAACAGCCCATAGTAGTTCCATGCTTACACATTTTGAGATTGAAATATACAAGAACTTCTAAAATATAGAAAGTGTCGAATATAAAGAAGAATAGAATAAAATGATAAAATCTATTTGATTCATGTCATTTTAGGCTTACCTTTGCTATCCTACCATGCTCAAGGCAGTCCTGGAGTTCCAGTTTATCTGCTGAAGAAGCAACCAGGGGCCTGAGAATGTGGAAAATCTGACTTCAGTGCCAAATATTCCATGTATTTTCTGTATCAAGCATTTTTAAGCAATCCTTGAAGGCATTTCTTCATGTTATTAGAGGACTAATCATAGTAACAGCAATAGCTAAAATATTTACTATGAAGAAATGTAACCAAAGTATTTAGAACAGTTATTACTAACATTATGTCAAGAAGTAAGTTGTAAATAGACAGTGACAGACAGAATATGCATCACAAAGAAGAACAGCAAAGTAGTCACTGGCTAAAATGTAGCTTTTGCCAGAAAAAAATGATTTGAATGACAAGTTTGTGCTAAACAAGATTCCACTGCATTTATTTTAGGAGCATGATACTGGAACAGCATTTTTCAATAGCTCTGTACTGAAATTATACCACTTTGTATTAACTGTTAAGTATTCATTTTCGACAAAAATGATATAGGATTATTCAGCACAGATAGATACCATTCAATCCTTCCCTTTCAACTCAATGCGCCTGTCCAGCTCATTGAAAGATCTATCCTTTTATCATTCTCCCCTACTCTTTTTCCATAGCCCTGTAAATTTCTCTCCAAACAAAGGTGCTTCTAATCATTGGCAAGAATTTGGATTTACTATAAATATTACTATTTATTTACTGGATTACAACACTTATTTGAACAATAACTTGCAGCATTTTTAAGACTTTCTGTCAGTTATTGTGCATTGGTCCCTATTGCACATATAATATTACTCTCTCTGCCATTTAATGGAGGTTGTAACCAAATTAAAATAAACAAGTTAATACCCTCATTAATTTTGCAGTGAGGGAGATGATATGAATGCACATGCATTTGTACAACACCATTACTCCTCATAATTTCCAAATTGTAGAAATACTAACATTCATCAATTTCCCTGAATCTATCAAATACTCACATTTCAGACAAATGACTCCCTATGAATGGAAGGATTCTGTCTCTGAATCTAATCCAGTTTTAACAACATTTATTTAAATTATACTTGTCCCATATGACTACATTCATTGACCCTGCAGCCTTGAGTAATGTATATGTATACCTGAGATTCACAACAACGTACTCATCACCCAACACAGAACCTTTAAATTTATGTATCAGCATATCTGCAGGCCACAGAAAATTCATGCATGTAGCTATAAAGAATTCAATTCTCAAACACACACTAGACACTGAAAATGTGCCCATGACTGAATAAAAATGATACCAAACTCATTGTGATAGTAATCAAAGACACATACCCATTAATAACTAGAGTATCACTCAGTTAATTTCTACTAATGTAAATTTTAGCTCGAGTTAGGAGAATGAGCAGGAAGTGAAAACAAGACCTTATTCCAATATCCAAATTTTTCCTCAAGTAGGTATGAAAGTTTCATTTTGCAGTACAAAAATTAGGTTAATTTTGTAACGCAGATATGAAGGCAATAATGTTACTTATTTCAGTGGGTATTACATTGATTGGCAGAAATTTTGATGACACGTCTGTGCAGAGTACTGTAACCTCTTCATCTATTTGCTGTCAACAAGAAAGTAACAAAGACTTTAAATGGATCATCATTTTGCATTAAAATGATGACTGACAGTGCAAAATAACAATGTTCAGGCCTCTACCAAATAAAGCTTGAAGCAAGAAGTGATCATGAAAGTACAATAATCAAATTTCTACACGTATACACTGTGCATATCAGTGCTTATTAAATGACATATCAAACAACGGCAATTTTTTTGCCAAATCTTAAAATGTTAATAATTTTTTTTCAGTGTGATTTCCTCTGAAATAAGTGACAAAATGTACCCTACTAGAGAATAATGTAATAAGTCAAGGGAACAAGCATGAAATTTGAGTTTACAAGCAGATAACAACAGCTGGGAATTTCCCTAGTTCCGGCCTGATCTGCTTATTTAACTTCAACAATAAATCAGTGCCAATCAGTGCAGTTACCTGAGATTATTGTTGTAGCAAAGCTGTTCAATTAATAAAAATCCAATGGGATTCCTAACAAACATCTGTACAGGTTTTTTTTAAGAAATGATGATGGTCAATAACAGTAATGGGTTAAAATTTCCATGTTCGGTGCAACTAGGAGATTGCATTTGAAATTGTGCTTATTATACAGTATCTGATATAATCGCAAGTATTATTTCTTACAATTTGTTTGTGTTTATGGTGTTAACCTGTTGCAATTTTATTAAAATAGCTGAACATGGGTTTATCACTAAACATTTTCAGTAAGAGGGTCTAGTTTTTCCACTTGTGAATAACCTTATTGTAAATTACGAAAATGATTTTAAAAGGTTGTTCTTTACTATTTACTGGTTTCATGAGTTAGTCAGTTTTTTTAGTAAATTTAATTTTCTATCAATGTAAAAAAATTTAAAAGTGGGCCTCAGACTTCCTATAATCTCCTGAGAAAAGATATTCCATTAAGATCATGCTCAGATACTTACAATTGGTAGAAACTTGCCATCTATATCATTTTGATGTGGAACTTGGTCAAGTTTGAGAGAGCTTGTTTCAGCTTTGGATTTATTTTTAAAAGTAGCATATAAAATTGTAGAAACAGTTTACAGCTGTTGTAACCTATGCAGTAGTTTTGGTTATATTCGCCAGAATTACACTGCTACAACTATTGGAGAATCTCCCCTAATTTATTTCAATGTATCCTGTCAATGTGCTGTCAATTCACCCAACAAATAATTAAAATTTGGAAAACATATGTAGTACACTCAAACACTGCAGTCAATTGCATTCTTGTCACTCCATACAGAATATCATAATTTTTAAGATCAAAAGAGGCCATTAAGTTTAAAAGGCTAGTGCCTTTTTGTTTAAAACCTCAGCTCCCCTACTTTGTAGTTACACCTCAAATCTTTCTCCAGCAGCTAAAGTATTGCTTCTTGAACCCAATTATATTGTCCACTCTGATAACTGTATCTGAAAAATTTTTTCACATTCTATTATGCCTGGGGTGAAATTACTAACTGATCCTTCTCCTTACTCTCAATTTCCTTGTTCTTAAACCTATGTGAAGTGGATCAATGCCAGCTGTGCAAAAGAGCTTATAGCGAATTAACAGCCAATTTTTCACTGCAGCCGGGTTACTTTGTACTTAAATTCACAAAATAGTTTTAACTGTTTTGGAGACTGTTTTCATAATCTCAGTGTTGCTTTTACTTGATTTGAAATTAAAAAGCTTGCAAGGTGCAAAATGGGCTGTTTATTTGCTATGAACCCATTTTTTGCTGCTAGTATAGATCACTTTCACCCTATGGTCTCTGAGATATTGTTAATTCCCTTAATTAATTTGAGAACTGAACGAGGTCACTTCAAAGTTTCCAGTTCTTCAAAGAAGCCAAATTTAACTTTCTCAGTCTTCTCTAATAATATAAATTTCAACATAATATCACTCTTGTTGCTTACTTACTGTAAGTGATATATCTCCCTGTTCCCAAAAATTAATCTTTTCTTGTAGAACCAAAGCAGCTAATCAACCATAACACCACTCCAAACTATTTATTTTGTCTTATTCTCATTGCAAAGTTTTGCTAGTGGAATAATGTGTGAACTATAAATTGTTTGGATAAAGGTTTCTTATTTACTGGGCTGTGGCATAAATGATACACTACCAACAGGGTTATACTAAATAATGGATGAACAGTTCATATGGTTGCATGGAATCAGCATGAACCAGCGGAGATAATTTTTGATATTGGACCCTCATAACTGAAATCAAAATCAGGGCAAGTAACGTGAAATGTTCAATGACGCCTTACCTAATCAGTGTGTGACAACCAAGGTTTCAATTTCATATAATTAGAATTAACATTACTTTTACTTTCTAAATGAGATGATGCTAATGACAGCTCCAGGCATACTAAGATTTTAGCTGTTTCTTTAATAAATGGATTAATTCATGAATTTAAACAGCAGCCTTCTGAAGCATTGTGTGGAAAAATCAATTTGTACTCACACAGGCACTCATGGACGACAGGAATCACTTCCATTCCTTGAACATATAGATCCAAGGCACACCCAGTGCTAGGCCTCTGCTCTCAGGATCATTGAAAAGCTAGCTGTTGCTACCTAATTAGCATCTCTAATCAGCTCACAAGAGAGAAAGCTTTGAAAATTGCCCCTTGTATAACTCAGGAAGCCCGACTGGAAAGAAAAATTGTTTATTATTGAACACCAAAATAGAGACACAACTCCCTGCGTCTGCTTTTATTCTATTTTTCTACTTACTAATTGGGTCTGATTTTATTTTATAATCCAGAAGTGCTCGTACGCGAAAGTGAACAAAAGGCTTTCCCAACATCAAATCACCATGACGTTTTTTTTTTGTTTTTAGCTATTAACCACCACCAGAAATCACCCATGCAGCTAATTAGACATTTACATGCAAAGCCCATTATAGGCAATGCAAACCACCGGAGGGGGAGGCGGAGAAAGTGGGATGAGAATGGGTCTGCTTTAGTTTCCTCATCAACCTGATCAGATGTTATAACACTCTTCTGGAAGAGGTGGACTTGAAACCCAGGTCTCCTGACTCAGAGGTAGGAACAAACCACTGTGCCACAAGGGCCATCTGGGTCTGCTTTATATCTTTATTTTATCTAGAACTGTTATCACACACAACCAAACAACTTTCCCACCAAATTATTATGGGTCTGCGTTTTTTCCCTTTTTTAAAAAAAGTTAAGGGCAATACTAACATCAAATCGTGAGTGGGTGTCCATCTGCTTTATTAAAAATTGGGCTCAGTTGATGAGTTTCAGCTGGCCTGTTATCAAGGGAACTCATACTCAATGAGGAGATTAACTGGTAATTCCCCACAGGCCTCATAGGGGCTATCACAGCCTGTTGGAACATTGGTACTGAGAGTGGAGCAGCATGAAGGTGGTAGATTACCTTGATTATTTCAACTCTGACTTTAAAATAACCTTGAAATTATTCATTTTGCTACATTAGCAATTCACTGGTTTGTTTTTTAAAACTTTCATGATTCACATGGGAGTTTTAAGAGTACAGTAATATCAACTTTTCATAAAGGCCTGGCAACAATTTCTTTAAGTGGATATGGTCTTTACAGTTTTCACTTTTCATGTTTTGCTGTATTGCATCAATATAGCCAGGAACTGCCTTACTTAGTTATAATACTGGATTTATGCAGGCTTTCCATAATTTGATCAAGTTACTATACTAATTGCATTTGCAATTCACTAATTTAAAGAAACAAATATTAACAAACATGATTAGGACAATGAATAACTTGCAATGTATGGAACTGTAAAAGAATATTCTCTCAGTTCTTTTCAGCAGGATCTTGGAATAGCATTCTTTTGCATTTCATAAATCACCAATTTAACAATTTAATTTAATCACCAGATAAGCAGAAATTTCTTCAGCCAGAGAGTGGTGAATCTATGGAATTCACTTTCCTCAGAAGGCTGTGGAGGCCAGGTCATTGAGTACATTTAAGACTGAAATAGATAGGTTCTTGATTATCAAAGGGATCAAGGGTTATGGGGAGAAAGCAGGAGAATGGGGTTGAGGAACTTATCAGCCATGATTGAATGGCAGAGCAGACTCGATGGGCCAAATGGCCTAATTTCTGCTCCTATGTCTTATGGTCTTAGTGAATTTGAACACAAACAGCCCGCTATCATAGCATCATCAAAAATAGGAGCAGGAGTAGGCCATTTGGCCCTTTGAGCCTGCTCTTCCATTCAGTATGATCATGGCTGATTATCCAACTCAGTACCCTATTCTCGCTTTCTCCCATACCCTTTGTTCAATTTAGCACCAAGAATTATATCTAACTCTTCTTGAAAACACACAATGTTTTGGAGTCAACCGATTTCTGTGGCAAAGAATTCCACAGGCTCACCACTGTCTGGGTGAAGAAATTCCTCTCCATCTCAGTTCTAAATGGCATATCCCATATCATTAGTCTTTGACCCCTGGTTCTGGACTCCTAATCAATGGGATCATCCTTCCTCCATTTTCCTGTCTAGTTCTGATAGAATTTTATAGACAGATCAGAACTGTAGAACATAATGATTATTTTTTGTTACATACCTTGAATAATTTGAAAAATAAACAACTTGTCCTTAGCAGCCAACTTTAATGAGGACAATTTACAATTGTTTAAGACATTGTTCAATGAGTTTTAACTGATATAGAGGCTAATGCCAAATACATTCCTGTCTAATTAGCGTGCTTGTTAAAATACAACCATTTGTGTTTTAGACACATTGTGGCCATTAAAGACAATCTTAATTAAGTTTTGATGGAAGAATTTCTTCCTTATGAAACAGAAAAGTAATTCCTGAGCACTGAATTATTTTAAGTTTGAATAAAGGTCAGTGAAATTCACCTGGAACCAGGATTAAGTATAAACTGTTGGAACAAGGAATTAATACTGCATGTGACCTGTTTTTTGTTTCAATTTTCCATGTAAATTATGAATGAATCTTTCACAAATTAAGGCAAATGAGAGTCAATCATGAGTATCAGCAATGTTGATTATACCCAGGACATATCCATTAGTGTAGCACATACATGTCGAAGTTTAATGGGAGTTATTGAGATTTAAGGTTATTTTCTCATCAACATTGTTTGCAATCCATACATTGTCAGCCAGCATGTTCCAGTCATTGATCTTAATGGCATACACAATGAAGGATTGTTGACTGAGATATCAATGTTGTTCATTTTAGATATAATTTGAATCAGTAAATTGGGGAGGTGGCCATTTAATGGTATTATCATTGGACTGTTAATCCAGAGACTAGGTAATGGTTCTGGAGACCCAGGTCCAAATCCCACCATGGCAGATAATGGAATTTGAATTCAATAAAAATATGGAATTAAGAGTTTAATGATAACCATTAATCGATTGATAGATTGTCAGAAAAATTCTTCTGGTTCACCTTTAGGGAAGGAAACTGACATCCTTACCTGGTCTGACCTAAATGTGACACCAGACCCACAGCAATGTGGTTGACACTTAACTCTGGGCAATTAGGGATGGTCAATAAATGCTGGCTTAGCCAGTGACACCCTCATCACATGAATGAATAAAAAAAAAGTTTGTATTCTGCTTTTTCGATTGGCCAATGGTAGGACTTGGAGAGAAAGAAAATTAAACTTTGCATACTCTGTCTAGATCAAGTTCCCCTTCCTTCAACATCAACAATATACCTCAATCTTGATCTCCTGTCTATTAAATTGGTGTGAATAGTTAGTTTCTCAAACAGACCCATCACTTTACGGCTTCTCTACATCTCACATAAGGACCTTATTGGGTTGCAACTAACATGTTTAGTACTGGATGACAGGTTGCATAAAATAAGAGAAACTCCTTCCATCATTTAGAGCAGAATTCAAGTTCACAATCCAGAGGTGAATATCTATCATAGGCTAAGCAACATTGTATAAAGTATGTATTAAAAGATACATTTAAATCTAAAGAGTACTGTTAATAATTTTCCAATAGTCAGACAGTCTTTATTCCAGCTTAGATGAGAGCTACAGACAGGGAACCTGCAGAATCCCCATCGTAGCAGATTCTAAATTTAAGATTCCGCTGGACAATTCCTTTTTGCCTGGAGCCTTCAGAAAATCTCCATAAAAATCAGAGAATTCCGATGAAATTAAATAAGCAGTTGCTCAGGAAATGTTAGACTATTAAATACATGGCCAAAAGCTCAAGTAACTATTCAATTGAACCCATACTTACCTCACACTTAGCTTTCCCGCTAATTTCTTTTCTTTGCAGCAGTGAATTCCAGAACTGAAAGTCAATGCTGTGAACAGCATCAGCACACTGATCACCTTGCATGGGTCCTTGGAGTGGCTGCATACGTGCACAACATACGGATAGCATTGCTCACACACCCGCAACACCACTTACACCCCATCCTCTGCTCCATACCCAACTCCCCTGTCACGAGATACACTTCCCCCAGTCTGCACCCAACACCCCCTTATTCTACTCCAACCCAAGCCCCTACTTCTCAGCCACTGGACACAGCCCCCTGCCCATGCTCCAAACCTAAATGTCTTTTTCCCCTTCCACTGGACACACTTCTCCCTTCCTCCTCTCCGTAATAGAATCTCTTATCTCTACCGCCAGAACTAACCTCCCCACTTCTCCTGGTCTGCATGCAATTGCCTTCTCATGCCAATGGACCAAACCCCACACCACCCATTCTCTGGACCCAACACTCACTGGACCTAAATTCTCCCACCCACCTTGATCTACCCTAAACACTGCATCACTTACCTGGACATCTTGCAACCTGGCACCGTACCCCTTGCCAACCTACCCTGACCATCCGCCATCCTACTCCTACTCAGCTGGTACTGTACTTAGCTGGTATCCTACCCTGTCAACACCTTAACATTACACTTACCTTATGTACTTACTATTTGATAGCAGCTGTCAAAGTGAAAGTCTGGATCTATAAGTTTCAGAATAGAGCAGCAGACTGTTGTGAAAACAGGGCCTGGTGTGCCTTTGCCTGACAGTTCCGAGCTATAAGAGAACTGTCAGAATTAAAGTTTGGCTCCACATTGCTGAAGAAGCAAAGATTGGAATTCTCCTCTCAGAAATATGGAACTCCCTCCTTTCATAAAAAAAGGAAGGGGTAGTGTGGCAATCTGAGTGAGATTGCCACTCCTTAGAAAATCTGACCCATGAATTGACAAAGAAATCATTTGTATGAAATGCTTTTTGCTACTGTCTCAGTGTAGGTATAACCTGTTTATTTTAAACAGATTAACCCTTCTGTTAAGTATTTATCTACTAATAATACTACAATTAGCAATTTCCAGCCTTTAATTTGAACAACAGTTCCACCTATGGGGAAACCATAATAACACTACAATTTAAAGCAATAATAATACAATCTTACCAATACACAAATTTTACTGTATTTTATATCACCAAACTATTTCGTATGACATAACTGAATTAATAGTAATTCGAAATTCAAAAATAATTTCTAAAAACATAAACATGTCTGACCTGTTCATTCCCGGTAAGTTTCCCCAAAAATAGCGAGCTCTGTGTGCTGCTGATACATCTATTGCATCAATCATAACTGGGTTACACTGTAGAGAGCAAAAGAGGAAAAATATTATTGTTGGAGAAGCTACCAGCAAGAACAGATGATCTACAGCTGGCTTGATCAACATGTGTGTCTATGTGTGTGTCTGTGTGTGTGTGTGTGTGTGTGTGTGTACCAAGACTGTCACCCTCCTGTGCAGGCTCCAGTGCCCTAGCAGAGTGGGACACCCAGACCCAGGCAGAGGCTGGGCATGAGCGAAAGTGTGTGAGAGAAAATGTGGGTATAAGAGGGAGAAACAACAGCAAGATAGGAGTAAGTGTCAGAGAGAGACGCAAGTATGTAAGAGAAAGGTAGTTGACATTTTTGATGGTCACCTTCATTTATTACTCATATAAAACTGTATGAATTTATATGGAACACAGTACAGTACAGCACAGGAACAGGCCCTTCAGTCCACAATGTCCATGCTGACCATGATGCCATTCTAAATTAATTCCATCTACCTGCACATGATCCATATCCCTCTACTCCCTGTCTATTCACGTGTTTGTCCAAATGCCTCTTAAATGTTGCTATTGTATCTGCTTCCACCACCTTCCCTGGCAGCGCATTCTAGGCACCTACCAAACTCTGCATAAAAAAAACTTTGCCTTGCACATCTTTAAACTCTGACCTCTCACCTTAATCTTATGCCTCCTGGTATTTGACATTTTCACCTTGTTAGAAAGGTATCCCTCGGACTGTCCACCTGACCGTGCCTGTCACAATTTTATATACATCCATCAGGTTGCCCTCGGTCTCCGAAGCTCCAGCGAAAACAATCCAAGTTTGTCCAACCTCTCCTTAAAGCTAATGCACTCCAACCCAGGCATCTTGTGGTAAACCTCATTTGCACTCTCTTCAAGCCTCCACATCTTCCCTATCGTGTGGTGACCAGAACTGTACACAGGATTCCAATATTTATGTAGATTTACAAAAAAAATCAATTTATTGTTTTGACTTTTGAGGGAGTGAGGGAGGGAGAGATAAGTAACTGACAGAATGTGTGTAAGCGTGAGAGAGAGAAATAGTGTGAACGTGAGAGAGGGACAGTCTGTGAGTGAGTGAGAGCGGGAGGCATTACGTGTGAAGGGGGATTGTGTATGAGGGAGTGAGAGAGAGTGAATTTATGTGTGGGAGAGGGGCAGTGTGTACAAGGGATTGAGGTAAAGAAATGGGGAGTGTGTGCAAGAGAGAACAAAACGGAGGGAGAATGCAAATCCTTAGCCTGGGAATGAGGTGGACACACACAGAAAAACCTATCCACACACCAGGCCTGGAGAAGAGAAAACCCAGGGTAAAAGGCAACTGCTTCAGTCCCCAACACTCTGATTTCCATTGAGACCAGGTCAGAATGTACGGCATTCGAGATGAACACAAGATGTTAATTAAACTCAATTCTTTAGCTTTGCCTTAGTTCTTTGCTCTTCCTTGGTGACCAGAAATTGGGCTATGCCAGACTCTCCAGCTCTGCTTCTTCAGCAAAAATGTTTTCAGAATTTAAAGGAGGTAAAAGGGGTTTCATCATCCAGCCACCTAGAAAGCCATCAAGAGGCTGCAATCACCTCCTTTCGAGGAGGCACACTGAATTCAGACACTCGGCTGGGCAACATTTCTCCCTGAGAAATCATTCCCTGATAGCTGCCGGCCGTTCACAGACTGTCAGCTAAGCACTGCTTGGTAGTGTAATTGAGGGAGAGATGAATGCTGTCGGCAATGTATTTACCCAAGGCCCAGGTCACAAGTGAGTGGGGGCTGGATGTGGGACTGCAGCAGTAGGGGATAGAAGCAAGTGCTGGAGGTGCTGGCTCTCAGCAATGTTTCCCTTCTCCAGTCCCAATGGTGGGTCACCCAATTTGGCACTAGTTTCCAATAATGGAATCCTCCTGGCAGCTATCAAACAGCCTTAGCAGGATTTGCTTTGTTGGCTTCCCACAAGAGACCCGCTGTCTCTGGTTGAAAACCAGTCGTGGTGAGTGAAGGCCCTCAGTGGGGCAAATAATTGACAATGAGGCAAGAAGGCCATGTCGAAGCCTTCCTTCCCAAACTTATAGGGGAAGATGTGGGATGGCAGTGGGATCCCTCCCCTCGCCTGCCCCAGGAAAAGCACACCTGCCACCAAACCTGCCTGGAGAAAGGGCATTAAATTCCATCCACAATTTATGTTGCAATTGTTGGTGTGGAAAATGAAAAACTAGCACCTACATTATTTTAGGTAGTAGGGCTGTGAATAGTGGATTTTTTTTTGTAGAGCCTGTTGTCAGCCTCCGCCATTCCCATTTTCCACAGTATTATTCTTCTCGGGCCTCTGCTATATTTGAGTTATTTAGGAGATGGGGAAAAGGAAGAAGAAGATTTGCAGCCAAGCTAAACAACAGGCTCAATTCTGCAACTAACTATGAAAATGATAGTCCACTTGATTTTTATTGCCTCAGTCTCTTACTGGAGCCAGTAAGATTAATAGTAGCATGTCAATCTTCTGCATTACTGCATAAAACAAATGACCAATATGTTATTTAATAGAGGAAATTATTTCAGTAATTTCCCTTGGTAAGTATAAGCAAGAGGTGAGAGATGAAGGCTTTTCCCTACTGGCAGAATTCATCAAAGTATGAGTGTTATTTATAGTACACTCCTAAATAACATTACCCCACATACGAATTGCAAGAGTAGTTTTTTTTTAAGAAGAAATAAATTTCCTTTCTTATCAATACATTAATAAAGCAAATTGATTTTTAAAACAATAAAATTAGTAGAGTAATTGCTTTCTTAAAAGTAGCCATTTGTCCTTCCAGGCCATTTTGCTTACAATGAATAACAGTAAGAAAGCAGGTTTTTAGACCCACAAGTCAGCATGCAACATCTAACCAAGGTTATCTATCCTGACCAGTGTGTCAAGATCGCTGTCATTTACACTGGAGTTTTCTCTATATTCATGCAATGCAGTTTTACTGGCTGAGGTCATCACCAAGGTCTCACCTCAACCTCGCTCCTTGTCTGAGGCATGGTGACCCTTAGGTTAAACCACTACCAGTCATCTCTTTCTAATGAGAGCACAGCCCTATTCCTCCAGGACTATGGCGGCTTTACTTCTACTTTACCTTTTTGCATACAGAACCAAAATTGTAAATGAGCACATTAATACAAATCATAATCATTTGCAGCCATTTTCATTTACCTTTGCCCATACACACAACAAAAATCAATTCAGCCAAAGCTGACTTTGCATTCTTTCTTCATTAATGAGAGCCATAAACACCTCATACCGCAGTGCTACCATCAGTATCACATCATTGTAAAATGCCTAGAATAGGCTGGAAACAACACAGTCGGATTGAATTTAAATACTACCTCCAAGAAACGTGAAATATCCCTTTTATCATTGACTCCCATGGCAACAACATTTTCAAATAACCAAAAGAAAGGCCTGTCTTCCCACTCTTTCGGTCTGGTGTCATGAAGTAGCCGGTAGAATTCAAAGAAGAGTCTTCCTGTGCCCTCTGCAAAAAAGCACAGCAAAGTCATGCTGATGAATAACATATTCACAAGTTGGAATTCACCAACACACAACCTTTTCATCAACACCAAATCAATGGATACATTTATGCTTGCATCAATGCATATTAAAGTGAGATTTTTGCAAAACAATTCAAGGGTCTGACTATTCCGGATAGCATATATTTTCCATGTCAGGAGGACTGTTTGAAATGAGTGAGGGAAATGAAATTCAGAGCAATGTTCTGCTTCCTGATTGTCATCCAGTATTCCCTGCCAATAGTGTGTCTATGTGTTGAGTAGACAGAATCAGGCTCAATTTCTCTCCACAGACAGTGTGACTGCTGATATTCCTGTCAAACTCACATGTGAATGATGGTCATGTGTACCTGGAGGATGCGATGCAATATTTGCAGACATGAGCAGGGACGATCAATGAGAGAAAAGGGATGAAAGATATAAGTTTTTTTTGTTATTTTTGGTACCAGAATATCAACTATTCAAAGCTCAACTTCCAACTCACTTGAAGTGATAAAGTACTCATCAGTCACATTACTTTTATTGAAATGATTTGGCTATTGTAAACCAATTGACAAGGTACTAAAATTTGCTGGTAGTGTTTTCCTGACAATTGTCTGCAAAGAGTTGAAGAATTTTTAAGTAATGATTTGGTAAACAATCATTTGCAGACAAATTATAATTAACAGGGATCACATTATAGAACTAAAGTTAATCAATCTTGACTAATAACTTTGAGGAAATTTATTCCATTTACAGACTAGTGTTTAAATTGTCAAATTAACTGATCTGCACCAAATAAATAACACCGACTCTGGATAGTTCTGTAATTCTGAAAACTGTAGGATCAAATTTATTAGACATATTATCATACAGTCTAACTTATCTACGTCAGATTCTTTTCTTGTCTGCTTTAAAATAAATGTGTTTTTGCTTCTTCAGAAACAAGAATACTGAATACAACTGCATTGCATTCATATATCATCACTAATAGTAATTTCTTTAATTGTGATATGATGCCAAGTCACATTTTTAAAAGTGGCTTTTGGTCAAATAAAATTTTGACTCAACCACAGTGGACAGCATGAGTGAATGAACTACTTGCTGAATAAACTATGGCAGCATTCCTCATTTCATTGAGTTTAGTGCACAGAATAGCCAAAGCAAAAAATTCTGGAGTTACAATGTGCCTAATGTAAAAATTCTGAGGGAATTATTTTTCTCAGCTGGAAAAATATGGCAGAAAATATGTTTATTTTCACAATGATGACACGAAAGCGTAGGAAAACTCCATAGCAATTAAAATAAATTAATTAAATGTTGCCAAGCATTTCTAATACATTCCAAAAGCTGTTTGTACATTCCTGCTAAGTGGTTAGAATGACTGCTTTCAATGAATCATTTATGAAATGTTGCTGGTCAAATTAGGAGAGGATGATGGCACTGAGGTAATATAATTACACTAGTAATTCAAGAGCTAGGTTAATGCTCTGGGGACATGGGTTCAAATGCCGTCATGGCAGCAGACGATTCATTAATATGACCAGGAAACAATCACTGATTGTCATAAAAACCCGTCTGGTTTGTGAATGTCCTTTCCAGAAAGAAATCTGCCATCCTTAGTCATAGTGGTTTACAACACAGAAACAGACTCTTTGGTCCATTGAGTCTGCAGTGGTCAAAAATAACCACCTAACTGTTCTAATTTCAATTTCCAGTACTTGGCCTTACATGCCTTGGCAAGGCAAGTGTCACCTTAGCTGGGTGACTTTAGACCCACAGCAACATGACTGACTCTGACTCTGAACTGAAACAGCCTAGCAAGTTACTCAGTTAGGCGCAGGACAACAAATGGTAGCCTGCTATTGATACCCATTAAAGAATAAAGGGATTAAAAATGGTTATCCCACCTATTCACAATACACATTAATGGTTTAGATGAGAAAACTAAATGTAATTTCTCCAAATTTGCAGATGACACTAAGCTGGGAGGGAGGGTGAGCTGTGAGAAGGATGAAGAGATGCTTCAGTGTAATTTGGACAAGCTGAGTGAATGGGCAAATGCATGGAAGATGCAGTATAATGAGGATAAGTGTGAGATTATCCACTTTGGTATCAAAAACAAAGTCAGAAGTCACACAACACCGGGTTAGAGTCCAATAGGTTTATTTGAAATCACAAACTTTCAGAGTGCTACTCCTTCGTCAGGTAAAGTCTGATGAAGGAGCAACACTCTGAGAGCTGGTGATTTCAAATAAACCTGTTGGACTATCACCTGGTTTCGTGTGACTTTTGACTTTGTCCACCCCAGTCCAACACCAGCACCTCCACATCATGGGTATCAAAAACAGAAAGACATTATTATCTGAATGGCTATAAACTGAGAGAGGGAACATGCAACAAGATCTGGGTGTCCCCATACACCAGTCAATGAAGGTAAGCATGCACGTGCAGCAGGTGGTAAAGAAGAAAAATGGCCTTCAGTGACAGGATTCAAGTATAGAAGCAGCATTGTCTTGCTGCAATTATTCGGAGCCTTGGTGAGACCACACCAGAAATAGTGTGGCCAGTTTTGGTCTCCTTATCTGACTACAGATGGATTGCAGCACAGGTTTACCAAACAGATGCTAGGGATGCGTGACTGACTATGAGAAGGTTGAATCAGTTAGGGCTATATTCATTAGAGTTCATAAAAATGAGGGAGGATCTCACAGAAACCTATAAAATTCTAATACGATCAGTCAAAGCAGATGCGCAAAGGATTTTCCTAATGGTAGTAGAGTCCAGAACCAAAGGCCATGGTTGACGGATACGGAGTAAACCATTTAGGTCTGAGATAAGGAGAAATTGCTTGGCCCAGAGAACGGTGAGCCTGTGGAATTTGCTACAACAGAAAGCAGTTGTGGCCAAAAAAATTGTTTGGTTTCGAGAAGGAGTTCGATATAGCACTTGGGGCAAAAAGGATCAAAGAATATGGGGAGAAAAAGCAAGAACAGACTATTGAAAGGATGATCAGCCATTATCATAATAATGGCAGAGCAGGCTCAAAGGGCTGAATAGCCTAGTCCTGCTCCTATTTTTTATGCTTCTATTTCATAAAAGAAAGGCTTCCAACAATGGAATGCAGTGCATTCATTCACATTATGACCTTTTCTTTTAGTTTCTTGCTTTTCCTTCTTCCATTTTCTGGGCCATTAGGATAAATCATCCACGTGTATACACCCTGAAATGCAATTTGACAGACAATATACTTGGGCCAGGGGTGTGCAATTGGAAATTTACCTTACTCACTTTTCACACTCCAGCTTTCTACACTGTCTTTTCAATGGTTAATATTTTAAATATACTGTCTAATTTTCCTTTACCTCCAATAATTGACTAATGAGTCATTATTTTAAATCTTTTATTTATTAGATTGGCAGAAAGATATTTAATGAACTCATTTTTTTCTAAGATAATGTACTTTTAGTTGTTGAGCACAATTCATCTGGAATTTGAAACAATGTTGTCGTGTTTAGCTGATAACCAAGCTTGCCTTTTTCACTACTGAAGTGTTGCTTAAGGACAGGTTGTTGAAAAAGGGATACCTCAAGGGCTCTTGTTTTAGGGGCAGAAGATGTGGGTTCAAGTCCCACCTGCTGTGGTGGTGTGTCATAACATGTCTGAACAGGTTGATTTTATTTAATTATGATATTAATTATAAGCCAACTGACAACTCTAAATTGACAGTCATTATCCTTGGAGGCCAGAATAACAAGAAGGAAATGACTGTTTTTCTTTCTCTTGCTGAACACATTTGCAACCTGATAATCAGATAATCTTCAGTGACATAAAGAAAAAACATTGTGTTTTGAAAAATAAAAACTGATTTGCATTCACATGGCTACAGTACGAAAAGTAAAATAAATAGGCTGGTATTGTGCTACTGTTATTCATACATCTAGAAAAGTGGTTATAGTTTAATACCAAGGTTAAAAATCTGTTCAATGATATTTGCTAATGCAGTGATAATGGTTGTGATGCTACCAGGAATGGATCTCCCAGGGCAGAAGTTCAGTATATGAGAAATGAATATATGATTTGATTTAGATGGTCACAGTCTCTACTTGAGCTGTCAAGCAAATGGCCACATCTTCCCAGGCCTGTCCTCGATTGATTGAGGGTTGTCTAGATTTTCAGAGACATCACCATTCAGCTCAGTTGCCAGGTTGTGATTGGTGTTGTTCACAATCAACCAGTGGGCGTGCCATTGTAGAAACCAACAGCTGTTCCTCAGGGCAGAACGTGTTCTCACCGAGACTGCAAGATTTCAGACGTCTGGGAAGGGTTTCATTCAATGGAAATGCTTCGTTAGTTATCAGTCAGCTGCATTTTTGGTTTGTATTGTGCTGGAAATGTGTCATGTGACCAACTAAGAACTGAGACTTAATTAAAAATAAAATCGTCAGTTCCGTTCTGAATCTGAGCATGATCATATTAATGGAAGAATAATATATTGTGTCTTCCATTTTACAAGATCTTGTTTTTAAAACCTTCACAATATGCATAATACTCTGCAGGTCACACTGATTTCCATTTTGATTCCTGCTGGAAGGTCTATGTGGAGACCATCCCCTCTTTCACACTTTCTGTGTAAAGCAGGAAGGTTGAGTGTCTACACAGCAACTTATTAAACAAATGACTGACATTAAATTTTGCTAAGCTGACAATGGACATAATGAACCTAATGTAGAAATGGATGGTTACCTCACCGGCAGATAGATGAACTTTGTAGGGCAGTAGTTCAATCAAAGACAATGATGTGGTCTCAAATGAGACCTGTTCAAATGTAACCTGCACAATATGTGCTCAAGACCTGTTCCCGAGTGTGACCTCATAATGGATGTGATCCTAAAAGTGCAGACATTACGTTCCAAAATTACTTGCAGTGCAGCTTGTTTCAGACAGAAAACTGGAATATTTTACAATTCTAATTATCTGGTCTAGGCTAACAGCTAACAGTTTAGTTCAGTGATAGTACTCTTGCCTAAGTAAAAACGTTGTGAGTTCAAGTCTGCAAACTATGTGTGGGAGTTTATGTGTGGAGCCAGAGGAAGTAGGTGAGGTCCTTAATGAATACTTTGCATCGGTATTCACCAAGGAGAAGGACATGGATGATGGTAAAATTAAGGAGGGGCATCTTCTGGAGCATGGCAACATTAAGGAGGAGGTGGCATTGCATGTCTTGAAAAGCATTAAAGTAGATAAGTCCCCAGAGCCCAATCCCAAGATACTGAAGGAAACTAGGGCAGGGGAGAAATTGCTGGGCCCTTTTTAAAAATAGAGGGTGGTAGATGCCTCGAATGTGCTGCCAGTGGAGGTGATAGAAGCAAAGATGACAGCAATGTTTAAAAGGCATTTAGACAGTCACATGAACAGGCAGGGAATAGAGGAATACAGACCATTTGTGGTAGATGGGATTAGTTTAGAATGGCATCATGGTTGGCTGAAGGACTTGTTCCTGCACTTTACTGTTCTGTGTAAATAATAAACGGAGCACAGGACTTTATACTGACTTTCATGTTTGCATTTCACAACTAAGTAAATAGATTATCAATATGAGAAATAATTTAAAATACAGGAAGAATTCTGAATTAAAACCTTTCAACCTGGAATCATTAGGAATTCCCAATATTTTCAATGTTTCAGAGATGTCCAAAAGAGGCACAATAATATTATTACTATATTATCAAGTATCCAAAAATGATAGTTCAAGTACCATATATATCCTAAGCTAATGAGGTGTCATTGATGAATGTTTTTCTGATACATAAAATAACAATTCAGAATAGTACGATGCACATTCCACTGAAGGATGAATAGGGGCACCACAGATAAAATGACACAGAAATATATATCCTGTGTATAAATGTTGATTATACCCACACTAATAAGAAGCAGACAACTTCTATCTGTAGAACCACAGAAAATTATTGGGAGAATCATCACTGGGATGGTCTCATGCAGCATTGACTAAAATCTGGTGAATATGGCATTATTAACTGTGAAAAGATAGAAGAAGAGGAAAGGAGATTAGAAATCAGCTTGGAAAGGAAAATGTGAATAAGTACTTACCTGATCCATCCAGAATCTCCAAAACAGGCAGTAAGCTCTTGAAATATACTGAAACAGTACTGATTTCTGAAAACCTTGGAAGAAGTGTAGGCTCTCAGTACCATCTCTCTTGATTTACAGTATGGTGTAGCTGAGGAAGTTAAGTCTTCCAACACATACGAGTGAGAAAGAAAGGGAGACATCAGAAAATGGAGATAAACAGACACAAAGAAAGGGAGCCATCTAGAAAAAGAGATAAAGGGAGAGAATAATAAAGGCAAGCATCAAGGATGAGTGGAGATAGATCAAACATTATTTTGAGACAGAGAATTTTCAAGCAGAAGTTTGGAGGATTCCAGATCAAGTGAGACACAAAACAGCAAGTGCACACATCACAGAGAAAATGAAATAAGGTAAATCAGATTTCAAGAGAACTAAGATTCAGATTGTAAATAAAAGGAAGAGCAAGGAATCATCAGCAGCTATAAATATTCTTGATCACATCCAATGTACAATCTTATTGTATTCTATTTGAAATGAACCTTTATATGATTACTTTTATGGCAGGATTAATCTTAGAAGAAGAATAAGCAAATA